AGGTACCCTACTGTGAATTTGAGAAAATTGTGCCCTGCCCAATCTGTAAAATGTGTTCTAGTTTCAAGAGGTGATTATCAGTCTTCTTCTCTCCGAATCAGCCCAAGAACCAAACAGAGGCTAGTGTCCCAGTTAGTAATTCATGAAAACAAATTTTCTTTATGCTCCTCTTGTGAAGGATAATAATTTATGATCTTAAGAAATGCTGTGTGCTTGGATTAGCAGCATCAGAACTGTGAAATTCAAACCTATTATTTACTGCCATTTTCTAATGAATAATAAAGTCAAAGGAGCTTTATTCAAACCACCAACACTTCCACTCATTATTACAGCATCAAGCAGGACTCTAATAATTAATTTACTTATAGTTCTTTCTTATACTTCTTACCTTGTGTACATCACACACACACATTCATTCATGTGTACATACACATGGTGTGCACGCACAAACACTCACACACATGCACAGAGTTCCATTGGCTGTCAGGGCCTCAGTTAGAGCTTCTATGATGTTTCTCCATTACTCAGAGAAATATCTGAGAAAGTCTAAAGGCTGGTGGCAAGTGCCATTAGGGTCTTCATTCATGAAATTTCTAGATATTTTTTGGATGCCAACTTAAGGATATATAACAAAACTGAAAATTCAAATACCCTTTAAACGACCGATTTCACATGTAGAACTTTTATTCTAGGTATTTGAGAATAATATACATACAAAACATATTTACTAAAACAACTGAATTTTCATCCTGGTTAAATAAGACAGCACAACCATCTCATGAAAAAGCATCATATGTACTGATATGAAGTAATCTCCAAGATGTGTTGTTAAATAAAAATAGCAAGATGCAGAACAGAGTGGATGATGTGCTGCCATTCTGGAAGGTTACAGGAGAAATCAGCAGTATAATTGCCTAAGAACTGAGGGGAGACTTAGCTTTTCATTTTTATACCTTTTGGGTTTAAATACTACATAGATGCATTACTTACTCAAAAACAAATTAAATAATAATAAAAATATTCCTATGAAATACTTCATTGAAGTACTGAAGCTACAATAGGAAGTGGAGTAAAAACTGAGAATGCTGTTATTTTCACCCTGATCTCTGAGACTTTGAGGATGTAAAGGTAGCATCAATAGCACCTATAGCTTCTGGGCTTATTCATTTTCATCATTCAACACACATTAATGCAAACTATGTAAAAGATCTTTGACATTTAAAAACAAATATGACTCAATCTAACCAATCAAATATCTAGTAGAAGACAGCTAAAAAGCAATTGATTCCTTATAAATACCAAAATATATTACAAAGCTGTAGTAACCAAAACAGTGTAGTATTGACTGAGAAATGAGCAAAGAGATCAAGAAAATATATCACAAAGTATAGAAACAAACTCATGAATATATCTAGAAATTTAGTTCATAAAAATTTTTATTTCTATTCTCGAGGTGGATGGATTATTATTTAATAAATAGTGTGCACCAATTGTCTTTCTTTTTTATTATTTTATTTTCTAATTTACAGTTGATATACAGTATTATCTTAGTTTCAGGTGTGCAAAATAGTGATTACACATTTATATAACTTACAAAGTGATCATCGCGATAAGCCTAGTTCCCATCTGACACCAGACATAGTTATTATAATATTGTTGACTAAATTCTCTAAGCTGTACTTTACATCCCTGTGACTATTTTCTTTTTTTGCCTTCAATTTTTTCCCATCTTTATGGAAATATAATAGACAATTAGTTGCTTGTAATTACATTGTACAATTCAATAAGTTTTTTGTTGTTGTTTTTTCAATTATAGTTGGCTACAATAATATACCAGCTTCGGTTGTATAGCATAGTGATCAGAGATCCACATAACTCACAAAGAAATTATCCCACTAAATCTAGTAAACCTCTTCCCCCTTACATCTTTATTACATTATTAACCATCTTCCCCATGCAACATTCTATATGTCCATGTCTATTCTGCAACTATCTCTTAATCCCTTTGCCTTTTTTATCAACCCTCAATCCACTTCCCATCTAGTAGTCCTCAAAATAGTCTCTATATCTATGAATTTAGTTTCACTTTTGTTATGGTTGTTGGTGTTGATTTTGTTCTTTAGATTCCACATGTACATGAAATCATGTGATATTTGTCTTTCTCTAACCAATCCATTTCATTCAGTGCAATACTCTCTAGGTCCATCAAGGCAATATCTTTTTCCATCCCCTTCCTTTGAGTCTGTGTGTGTCTTTTAATCTGAAGTAAGTCTCTTGGAAGCAGAATATGTAGGGGTCTTGTTTTCTTATCCATTCAGCTGCTCCGTCTTTTGGTTGGAGCCCTTAATTCTTTTCCATTTGAGGTACTTGTTGATAGGAATATAGTTATTACCATTCTTTATTCCTGTTTTTGATACATTTTTTTTCTTCTTAAAGAAGTCCCTCCAACATTTCCCATAATATTGGCTTGATGTTGATAAATTCCCTTAGCTTATTTTTGTCTGGGAAGCTCTTTATCTGTCCTTCAACTCTAAATGATAGCTTTGCTGGATAAAGTAGTCTTGGTTGTAGATCCTGGGTTTTCATCACATTAAATATTTTTTTGCCAAGCCCTTCTGTTCTGCATGATTTCTTTTGAGAAATCAGCCAGCAGTCTTATGGGTGCTCCCTTGTATGTAACTAACTGTTTTTCTCTTGCTGCTTTTAAGAATCTCTCTTTGTATTTAACCTTTGCCATTTTAATTATGTTGTGTCTTGGTGTGTGCCTCTTTGGGTTCCTGCTTTTTGAGCCTCTCTGAGGTTCCTGGGGTTTTATGTCTATTTCCTTCACCGGGTTAAGGAAGTTTACTATCATTATTTCTTCAAATAGCTCTTCAACATCTTGTTTATTTTGCGATACCCCTATGACACAGATATTTTTACATTTAATAGTGTCCCATAGGCTT